AGTGAGTGAGTGAGTGAGTGAGTGAGTGAGTGAGTGAGTGAGTGAGTGAGTGAGTGAGTGAGAGTGTGCGCGCGCTGGCGATGAGCTGCAGGAAGTGTGTGACTGAATATGTAAATAAGTCATTATGTGATTAATGCTCTCTCGTTTAGGAGATGCTCTAATGATAATTAGGCGGGAGCCGATAGCATCACGGCCCCGTTGTTTTTCCGGCCTGACGGCGAAGAGTGAGACCGAGACGAGAAATACACTCAGCCATTAGAGCCCAATTATCCCGCTAATTAGAGCGTCTTAATACACGCATAGAAAGAAAACATGCTAATAATGAAGAGCGGATGGAAAGAATCAGCTGATAAACGGATGACAGACTGATGGCCTGATAGTTCTTTGATTTCTGACCACAAAAGTGTGTTTCCATCAGAAATAAAATAATTAATATCTGATACATTTGAATAATTGATACATTTAGAGTTTTAATAGACTTTAGATTTTCTGTCATGAGATTTTAACTATTGGTTTTTTATATTCAACAGGTTAAGCTTGTGCGTTATTCAGTGGCTAATAACAATATCTACAGATCAGTGAACAATCAGGGTTACTATTGGTAATTAATTCAATTAAAACTATCAAAAACATTTTGTTAATTAAAATAAAGCTGAACTATAATAAAATATAAATATATATTAAAAAATCCTTGGCTGAAATAAGTTGAAGCACTAAAATTACCAATTTAAAATAAATAAAAACAAAAATAGTAATATATATATTTTAAATTATATAAACGTGATATTAATAATAGTAACATTTAATCAAAAATATAAAAACTGAGATATAAAAATAAAAATGACAAAAGCACATAAAATTACTAAAAATAAATCTTAAATTACAATAAAATATAAAAATAAAACCAATTAATAATTGTAATAAAAACCGTTCTAGTGTAGAATATTGTAATAACTAACTCTAACCTAACCGAAAATATAAATAAATGCTAATTAATTATTATAAATAAAACTGCTATAAATAATACAAAAATAACACTGTGACCAATATAATATAAAATAATAGCAATTTCTACATTTAAATAAACCCAAATTTGAAAATATAAATTAATTGTTAATATATATATATATTATTAATAATTCATATACATTATTAATTGAAAAAGAAATATTTGAAAACAAAGATATATTGAGAAATACTGTATATTGGTAGTTTGAATCTGACATGCACACACAGAAAGAAAACAGTGTAATGAAGAGCGGATGGAAAGAAGCGGCCGATAAACTGACGACAGATAAACGTTGATTGACTTCATTAATGACTTCAACTGATTAGAGACGGTGGTTCGGGTCTGTGTGTGTCTCTGGAGGTGTGCTCTGGTTATGGAGGGTTAACCTGGTTAATTAGTCTGGGATGATCTGCAGCAGAGGCGTCTCGTATCTGGGACACATGAAGTCTGTGTGCAGACGCTCTTGAGTTAAAGCATTCGCACAGAATCTGCTGTTTGGAGATGATGCTTCTATCTCATGTTTTCATAAACTAGCGCGGGGTTTGAATCAAATCACTGTGTGTTTGACAGGTGAAGTGCTGTAAGTACTGGCCCGACGACACTGAGATCTACAGGGACATGAAGGTGACGCTCATCGAGACTCAGCTGCTGTCTGAATACGTCATTCGAACCTTCGCTGTGGAAAAGGTTCGGCATCAAACTACACTACACGTCAAACTCAGCAGATGTTCTATTAAACTACACAATCAAACTTGCTGTCAAACTATAACGCTGATCATAACCGAGACTCCGTATCCTGATCACAAAACACATCTAATCACTGATTGTTGATTCAGTATTGTCTTCATAGATATCTCTATAGCTATCATAAATAGTTACAAGGTTAAAATATCTATTAAAATATATTAAATATAAAATATATATTAAAATATTTATATATATTAAAAAATATATACATATGTGGTATAGTTAGTTTTTAATTTGTGTATAATGTGTATAATAATAAATTTAAAATATTATTAAAAAAATAATTATAAATTATGATTACATTTTAAATATATTTAATATTTAATTGTATCAATATTATTTAAATTGTATAATTAAAATTACTTTTTTTATTTTTTATATATATGTATAAATAATCTAATAAACAATAATTCTAAATACATTTTATATACATAAAATGATTTATATAAGTTGTATAATTATTATAGATTTTTATTATATATACTGCAATATATACTGTATATTTGTGTTATAATAAAATTATAAATTTAAAATAATTATAAATTAAAGTTAAAATATATAACTATAATTTATAACTATATATAAATTTTATAATTAAAATTACTTTATTATTTTTTATTTTTTGTATATGTATATAAATCATCTAATAATTAATTATACATTATAATTTCATTTTAAATATATTTAATGAGTTGTATACATATTTTAGATTGTATTTTATATATATAGACAGAGAGACAGACAGACCGACAGACATACAAAGAGACAGACCGACCGACCGACAGACATACAGACAAAGATTTTGTATATGTATATAAATCATCTAATAATTAATTATACATTATAATTTCATTTTAAATATATTTAATGAGTTGTATACATATTTTAGATTGTATTTTATATATATAGACAGAGAGACAGACAGACCGACAGACATACAAAGAGACAGACCGACCGACCGACAGACATGCAGACAGAGAGAGACAGAGAGACAGACAGACATCCAGACAGAGAGACAGACAGAGACAGACATGCAGACAGAGAGACAGACAGACATGCAGACAGAGAGACAGACAGACCGACCGACAGACATGCAGACAGAGAGACAGACAGACCGACCGACAGACATACAGACAGAGAGACAGACCGACCGACCGACAGACATGCAGACAGAGAGAGACAGAGAGACAGACAGACATCCAGACAGAGAGACAGACAGAGACAGACATGCAGACAGAGAGACAGACAGACATGCAGACAGAGAGACAGACAGACAGACAGACAGAGAGACAGACAGACAGCAACAGACAGACATGCAGGCAGACAGACAGACCGACAGACAGACATGCAGACAGAGAGACAGACAGACCGACCGACAGACATGCAGACAGAGAAACAGACCGACCGACCGACAGACATGCAGACAGAGAGACAGACAGAGAGACAGACAGAGACGGACATGCAGACAGAGAGACAGACAGACATGCAGACAAACAGACATGCAGACAGAGAGACAGACAGACATGCAGACAGAGAGACAGACAGACCGACAGACAGACATGCAGACAGAGAGACAGACAGACC